CCAGAAATGCAGATCTAGTGAATAAGATATACCAGTACGAGCGTAGCGCCAAAATGGCTTTGGGCATGGGTGGTTGGTTTTTTCTTCGACTTAATTTTAAAAAAATGATTTTCCAAAGATTTAAGAACCAAGACCTTTAGGAACCCGCGGTCAGTCAATCGTGGATATACCTAAGGCTGCATCATCGTCAGGTAATTGAGCCTTAAACTTCTCAGGCAATTCATTGAACTCTGCCAGCATTGAGAATATGAGCCTAAGTTTGACGCGCTGCTTTTTCAGGAATAGGAGAATCCATTTCTGTGATACGCACATCAAGCTCACATGACTTATCTTTCAGAGGAACTCCGGAAAGAGCAGTACGTATATTTCTATGTTTGATTCTACTGAAAACAATGTTTTATAAATTAATTTTAGGTCCACTTCACAGGCCAGGATCGGCTTATCGATATCAGTTCATCGATGGAGATCACACTGAGATACCTTAAAGAGCGTATCGAGCAATTAGAAAGGGATAAGGTTCAAAAAAAATGAAATCTGTAGAATTCCAAAGTTAACATGGTTTTCTCACCAGGCCGAGCTCACAAATGACTTAATGTCCCGTCGAGAAGAAATGCAGAAAAACTCTACGCAAATGCAGGACGCTGTCAATGCTATGCACTCTTTAGAAAAACAAGTGCAGGACCTACAAAGAGGTGTGTTATAGTTTGAAGTTTTAAAGCAAACTTTTCTTATTACTTATATACAGCTTCCTCAGTGTTATTCATAAATTTAACATCAAAAGATAGTAACTTAGTGACGAACAGTGAATTTTTTGCGAAAGACTCTATTATTATCTGGTTTTCAAAAACTCGCTATTTTTCCTCAAAAATTTTCAGATCTATCTTCTTTCTCCAAAATGAACCATTATCATTATCGATAGCAAATTGTGTTCTCTCAAAAAATATGGATCTTGTCTAATGTTTTACGCCTTTCAGTACTTCTTTTCTCCTTAGATTTGGAAAAGCAAAATTTAACTTCTGCAGTGTTGTAAGAGAAAACTAGAGGAGCAATCATCCAATTACACATTTTTCTTACCCGCATAGCTCGTGCTGCCGCATTTCTTTACCCAAGATTTAACAGATTCGGCATACGTACACTACTGGCCAACCTTTTCATATGTTTTGGAAATAAACAGAACATCCCGTTAAAGTTTGTTACATATGGGAGTAGGGCACGAACAATTAGAACAACCCAATATTCATCTATGTTATCACTCTTAAGCGCATATAATTCAAAGCAACCATCTCTACAAATCTACATACATACATACAATTTGAAGTGGGAATCATAGCCTGTGGTGATGATGGAATTATCGAAATTTTTAATTTGCTGAAATATCAAAGAAGTGGAACAAGAAGTGACTTATGGCGTCAAAAGCAGTCCTGCAAATGAGTAAATATGTATTAGTATTTTGAATTTCAGAAAACGACAATCTCGAATCACGTCTGGCTACACAACGACAGCTCTACGTTTCAAATGAAGAAACAATGCGGGCAAAAGATCTAGAACATCGTAATTTGAAAGCGAAAATCATGAGCGCTGAACTGCACATTCGCGAGAAGGATAGCAAAATCAACCAGTTGATGGTAATCACAACAATAGTTTAGCTTTTCGCTCATACCCTCTTATTAAACTTTAGAGTCAATTAGAAGCCCTACGACTCGAACATTCACAAGTGAGTGCGGAGCGACAAAGGTTGAGCAACATCGCGAAAGACGTTGAACATGACATGAAAGCTTACGAAAGTGACAGCAAGAAACTACTGCAAGAACGTGAACAACTGATCAAGCGACTAACAGAAGTGGAAAGCGAAAATAAGGTTTGTTAAGAAGATTGTTATGGATTTCAACTTAAGAAGTTAGTATGAGCTGCAAAGATTACAATTTCATACAGCTTACCCCTTAAAAATATTCATTTTGAGCAAAAGTACGCAGACTCGCACGATCAACCTCCTAGTATGTCTTGGGTTCATTTCAAACTATTAGTAAAAGCAATTTCGAATCAGGCCAGACAAAAACCCCTTCTAATTCTTTTGAATCCTTCTATGTTACCATAACCTAGCTTGCTTCAAAAATTACTATACTTCCCTTCCTCTTTCCTCTCCCTTCCCTTTTTCCTCGTTATTCGCATTGTAGATGCAGTAGACTT